CAAGAATTAACAGCGTTGACTCAGGCCTGAAGACTTGAAAGGAATTTCTATCAACAGATTTTAAAGATCTTAAAATATACAGCTTGAGTAGCCTCAGGTTTCTCAGGCAGCTGCCAAATCAAACTGAATAATAAAATAAAACTGAATAATAAAGCGATCACACAGTGTAAGATCAAGACAGGGCTGAGCGAGGAGCACCTCCAGTAATTACTGGATGGGGAGCAGCCTCCAGCCTCTGCCAACATGCCGGGGGCCGAAAACAGCAACAAAACTTCCCCAAATGAAACAGCTCTTCCCTCCCCTTCAGCTCTCTGCTTTCTCTTTTTGCTCCCTACTGTGGGCAGGACCTCGGGAGCAGGTCTGAGCCCAGGAGGGGACCCTGGTGGCAGGAAGAACAGGGCTGTGGTGACACAGGTGGAGCTTGGGATGTGGAGCAAGGGGAGAGCACTGTCCAGCATCCTTTGGCTGCTTTGAGTGGAGCCACATCTCCTTCCATCCTTCTTTCCCCTTTTACTACTGTTTTTTGTTGGGGAAAAAAAAAAAAAAAAAAAAAAAAAAAATCAACATGTGAAGGATTTCACTAAAAAGATTAAATTGCCTTGAAAAGCTCATTCTTTATGATTCGTGCTGCAGCAACACCACAAAACCCTGAAAGGTCTATATAGGGAACTTGGGTTTGCTTTAAAGCTACGTGTGTTTTTTGGGGGGCCTGGGCTTTTTTGATGAAAAGATTTCACTTTTTGATAAAAACATTCGGGCAAAAATTGAGCTTTTGAGAAAGAGGAACCAATTTTTATTCCTTTTTGGTGACATTTTTCATGAGATAAAATGTAATTCCTGAGAAGCTCTAGGCCTGGTTCTTTTTCATTCTTAAAATGCCTCTTTCTCTCTAGGCTCCTGGCATCTATTTCCCATTGTCCTTTCAGAGTGCCAGGGCAAATATATCATTCTATTTTGGTACTGTCAAGAGGTAGGGTTTGTAGGGAAAGGCAATATCTTTTCTTAGAGCAACTGATAGAACTGGGAAAAAAAATGGACACATTTTTGGGCATAGAAGCCCTGTCTGTCTCTTTTGTTTATAAATTACCCTTCTGTTCTCTTGGAGACCTTCCTGTCTCTACACTGAACTCTTTTAACTCTAGCATATACACTCAAAAAGTGTGCTCATCATTTATCTTTACTGCAGCTGCAATCTTCTCCTCACCTCTGCTTTCTTTCCTTCCTCAGCTACTTACTCTTCTCTACTTTGCAATCTTCTCAAGTGGCAGCTGTAGTTTATATTTTATTACTCGTGTGCATCTTTCTAATCCTCCATTATTTGGGGCATATCCTTTGTTATCTGCATTAGTCTTCTCTGTGCCCCGGGGACATTTATCGCTAATTGGTTCACATAAATGGGAAGGTAAACATTCATTTCTCTTAGAAAACACGTTTTCCTTGCAGTGGGACAACCCCTCGAGCTTTTATTCTTTCCTTTATGCACAGCTGGTTGGAGAGAAAACAGAATAAAGCACACCTCTGGCAAGGCGTGCAGAGCACCAAGCAGCACGCTCAGGGTTTGCACTGCGCCCATGAAACCCCCTGAGCCCACTGGGAGCTGTGACAGCATCCTCATAAGTCCTCTATGCAACTGCAGCTCTCTGTGGGGAAACACCCCCTGAAAACCCTCAGCAGGGAGGCTTGGGAGGCACTGTGTTCTGTTCACCATTTTCATTAACAACAGCCTGGATGATGGAATGGAGAGCACGCTTATTAAATTTACAAGTGGCACCACGCTAGGAGTGAGTGCAAATACACTGGACAACAGGACGAGAATTGAAATGAGTTCAACAAACTGCAAAAGAGGTTTGGAAGGAAAAAAAAAATAAAAATGCAAGGCATGAGACTGAAATAATTCATGTCCAGAGGGCGGTTTTGCAGAAAGAAACTGATGATGGGAGGAAAGGGCAAACTGAGCCAGCAGCTCAGTAAGCCTGAGTGCCACATTGGAGGAAGAAGAGGCAGGTATAGGCAGGACATCAAGTTGCAGAATCCTTTTATAGCAAAAGTGATGGAGGTTGGGTAAAAGGAAGGCTTCTTATGAAGAGAATGGCCAAAGCTCTGTTCTCAGATGTGCCAATTTGTCGTGGTAATGTATGAACCAGCTGCAGGAAGAGCAGAGTAGCAAGCTTCATTTTTTTCACTTCACTAGATATATTCTGCTGGTAAGAGGAGGATATGAGTTTAACTATGCTGTTGGCCTTGAGGCTTTAGGTATCAAGGAGAGATTATTTCAGAGATCAAACTGAATGCTGATTCGAGGGAGTAGCTCATCCCTTTGGAGTGCTCCAGAAGGGAAAGGGAACATTGTCAGTTCAATCTACTGTGGAATTTATAGTATTAATGATCTGAAGAACACTTTAGGGATTTCTGTCAGATGTCTATTTTAATTTAAACTCTTGGGTGTTTAACTACCCAAAATATTGAGTTCTAGTCATTATAAAAACTAATAACTGGCTTATTTTGCTGCTAATTCAGAAACTGAGGTTAATTATCTGTAGTGAAAGGATGTGGTACTAATCTGAAGTCTACCAGAATAAGACACTGTGGTTAATTGATTCCCCATGAAATGACAAAAGATCCCTTTAGAGTAAAGAGATGTTTAATATTCAGGAGTTTCTCAAAGGTACTAACTTTTGCTTCTCATGAAAGGCTTTTTTCTTGTTTAGATTCATCAGCTGTACCTTCCCCTTTTCTTACTGTTGATATTGCTTCATTTTTATGAAATTCACAATGGGGTGGCAAAGCAACTAGACAGATCAATACAATGGGAAAGGCATTACAACAAAGGTGTGACGATGAAAGGACCAGCACGATAGGAAGGTGCTATAAAGGAAGAAGACTGCTTACCTGTTTCAGAAGATTCTAAGTTTGCAGGGGAAAGCTTCATCAAGGAGGAATCTCCAACCAAAAATCCTCCCCAGTGGCAGTCAGCCCTTCAATGAGGTCTAAGAGAGGTGCAGCCAGGCTCCACCCCTTCCTATCACACAGCTCAATTGCCTTCACCTGTGTTCCCAGGGCTGACCAGGTCCTTTCCCAGGTGCTCAATCAGTGGTTCAGGCCGTGTCTCGACAATTCCCATACATGTGATTATACTCCTTGCAGTTGGAAGCCCACCTACCACATCCCTTTGATAATATCTCTCATATATGACAACATTACCCCCCTAAAGTTGGTGGAAACCGTTGGCCATCCAATCCTCAGCAGTGGGATCGCACCCAGGAACTTGGTACTGTCTTTAGTCTGGGTACAGGGATGGTTTCAGCAGAGCTTCTGGATGGGTATGGCCAGGTTCTGTTCTAGCTGGCTTTTCCATAATCGTAGAGCACGTTAGACTCAGAGCTGAGATTCTTCCTTATTCTCTGCCCTGTGTTCTCTCTGCTCTGCTATTCTCTTTCTCAAGGGCTCTGAAAATGCCCACACTCCCATTGGTTTATTTAATAAAAATTACTTTCTGAGCCAACCGCGACCAGCTAAAAAAATTAATTTAAGCTTCCCCTAAAGTGTATTTGTCACTGTCCACTGTTGTAATTCATTACGTTGTATCCTAGCATACCCTCAACATGGCAGTGTCAGAACTCTGATGATGTAGTGCAGTTTCCATGTATAATATATCACGAGAACAGTTTCAACTTGGATGATATATGAAGCCAGCCTGGGAGGATTTTAAAATAGACCTAAATTTCTGGAGTTTTTTTTTTGTGTAACTTTGAGTGTTTGAAGGGTTCACTCAAAGCCTTTCCTGAATATCTAAGTCATTTCTCCCTTGCCATGCATGTGTCAGAGTTAGCAGTGTCAGTTAATCTAGTGCAGCTTTATAGGTTGGCTGGCCAAAACCTAAGTGAGCATCACATCTATTTCCCTTTGTCCTTTTGCAGTACTGCCTTGGCCTGCTTATGTTTAAAACAGAAAATATTCAATACAACAGCAGTCTAAATTGGACAACACGCAGTTCAGCTAGGATTGCGAGGGGCAGGAAAACATTCATAGGGATGATGGGTGATGAGCAGTGTCCTCCCTCTATAAGATTAAATGCCTCAGCAGTACATGGCCCTGGGTAGAAAGCATCAGTTTTTCAGTGGAAAGAGTTGATTTGGGAAGGAAGAGTTGGGTGTAGGCTGGATGTAAATGAACTCTGAGAAGGGAGGAAAGCAAGAGAGCTGAGAACAAAAGGGAGGTGTAAACCAAGAGCAAATAAATAGGAGGGCAAAGGCAGCAGGAGGAGGAAGGAAAGAGTGGGAGAGAAAGTGGGAACAACTCTTAGTCTTTGGGTCCTGGCAGGGCAGGGCTTTCTCCTGAAGTCATTTTTCAGTCCAAATAAAAGAAAATTTTGAAAAACAAAACAAAAACAGGAGCAGTGGTCATTCCCCTTCTCTTCCTCCCATTTCAAATCAAAAAGTGATTTCTGTCCCCGTCTCTTTCCAAATTTTCTGGGTTGTTTGTTTTTGTCTTTTTTTTTTTTTCAATTGAAAAAGCCACCTGATCCAAGCAGATCTCCATTTGTAGACACAGGGTACCTCTGAGCTTGGAGGGTGCCGTGGGGTGAGCATGAAATGGCCATTGCACTGCTGTGCTGGGATGAAGACAAAAACATCTGCATGTATGAGGGAGCTCTTTAAGTGGCACCTAACAGCAGTAGGCACTTAGGCCAACTTGGTGTTCAAACTTAATTACCAGAAAAATGCTGTACATTATGAAGATTTAAATCATTTAACAAGCCTTGTGTGAGTCTTAATGCTATTTTATCACTGCCTTTTCCCTTTTCATTCAATAGGAGAACAGCAGTGCTTAGCACAGAATCGCAGGCAGGGATAACCTCCAGTTTTGCAGAAGGCACAGCACACTTTTCAGTAGCAGGATAACGATGAGGAGGTTTGCTCCTGTCCCCAAACCTGGAATCTGCCCAGTGCAATGCGTGCAGCAGCTGCTTGGGATCATTTCTATTGTGGTACCGTGGTACGTTCAGATCTGAAGAAACAGCTGTAGGGGGAAGGAACAGGCTGAAGGAACAGATCAGACACGGAGGTGAATGTCAACCTAATGCTTGGTCACCCCTCATCTCGAGCGCTCCGCTGTGGGCTCACAGTGATGCCTGCACTGAGTAACAGCTCTGCACAAATCCTGCATGTTAAACATGGATCAGAGGTATGATGTATGTGTCTCCCTAGGCAGTAAAGCTCTAATCCCACCTTCTGCTGAAATAGCCTAATTTAGTCCATCAGCTTTTCTGTATGGCCAACCTCTCTGCAGCGATCTGGGATGCGAGCCCACTGGATTTACACATCTTTCCCTTTTTTTAACTAGACATTATGTGAGAACTTGCACTTTAATGTTTCTTCTTTTTGGAAGCAGTTCTTGTATTTTTTTTTTCTAATTGATCCTACTATTTTCACCATCCTGAGGAATACTCCATCACTTTCTGACTCTTGTATGAGATTGTTTTTAAAGGTTCGGGTGCTTCCTGTGGGAGGCACCCCATGCCTTGCATGTCCTGTAAAAAGGATTTTCTCGGATCAGTGGGAAATCTCAGATTCTTATTCTGGTCTGCATGCTCTCTGCAGGTAGCCCTTCCAATGGAGTGGTTAAATTGGCCCCAATGCAACACCCACTGCAGGTCAGCAAACTCATGGTGCCAGCAGCACTGTAAGAGAACAAAGCAGAGGCAGATATCTGCATTAGCAATGAATTCATTAAGTGCTTGTATTTTCATGGAAATCTGATGCTATTTCATCTAATCAAAGATGGTGCTTTTTCCCCAAAGTCTTACGTCTCAATCTACAACTGACACGCTGTGAAATATCTGAAATCCACTTGAAAGCCCGTGGGATTCATCACTGAATTCCACAGCCTTGTAACATATGCAATTACACAGAGATACGCAGAAATTGCTGTCTTTTTTTCACAGTCTTTTCATTCCCTAGCAAGCATATTTGCACCAACTGGAGAACTTAATTCTCACCCAAAAGACTCTTTGTTCCTTTTTTTGCCAATAGCTTTTATGCTTGTCTGCAGTTCCACAGGCTGTGTATACATCCAGTGCTGTAACTTAACTGCTTCCAGATTTTCTGGATTCTTACTCCTGACAAAAATAAAAAAAGAGAGATAGAGGGAGAGAGAAAGAAATGATACTAATGTTGTTGGAAATCTGTTACTGTCACTTTTTCGTCCCATCATCTCCAGATTTTGACCTGTGAAGTGTGTTCCTCCGAGATGCTCTAAAGGATGGGTTGTCCCTCCCCGTTGAACTCGCAGCTAGGTTCTAAAAGTCAAAATCTGCATCTGCCTTTGCAGCTGGAGGTGGTGTTGATCTTGCTCTTGCTTGCCCTGCTGCTCCTGGTTGCTCTCTGCACTCCTTCATTTATCAGCAGATGGGTGGTAATGGCAGGGCTGCTCCCCTGACTCCTCAATTGGGTTCCCCAGGTGAAACGAGCCCCAGCGAGGCAGGAGAGCCTGCAAATCTGTTCCACGCAGACTGAGAGGAAGAAGAAAAGCCAGCATTCATCATTCAAAAGATAAACATTTGACAGCACAGCTTGACTGTGTCAGGAACACTTCTGTTTTAATAGTACGCCTGCAAGCTTTCAAAACAAGTGTTTACCTGTCACAATAAACAGTTATGAGTGAAGTACACAAAACACACTAAACTCGGAGCTGGCAAGCTTCCAGAAATGCCATGTGCAGTTAAACTCTTGAGCTTGTCATTCCATCCAACATAAATCTCTTCGGTTGTCTTCTGTCTTCTTCCTTGAGCATCCTGGACTGACTCTGATTGCCTCAGAGCCATCTGCTCGGATGCGTGCAGGATCCAGAAGTGCAGCTACTGCCTGGAGTCCTCTTCAGCTCTGACTCTTACACAGCTGCAGTGAACTCCTAGCTGCTGCTGGTGAGACTGGATGTCCTACTTTGCTCTTTTGAACCTCTGTGAACAAATTGGTATTGTACAAAGTACAAAATGTAGCTTGTGATGACATTTTGGACACTGGGAAATCATAGGATCATTAAGGATGGAAAGACCAATATGATCATCTTAGCCAAACCATCAGTCCATGTCTGTGACCACTCAGTGCCACATCTCCATCGTTCTTGAACACCTCCACGGACTGCACCACCACCCTGGGCAGCCTATTCCAATACATCACCACTCTCTCTGAGTGGTGATTTTTCCTAATATCCAATATTATGGGTAATATTATTTCCAATAATATCCAACATATGGGTACTTTCAGGAGAAAGCTAAGATTGAAGCCACCAGATGGGAGCTCAAGTGCTGGATTAGACCCTATATTGCATCTTATGGTGACTTCAGAGCACCAAGGAGTGCGATGAAGCTGCAGCCCTGGTTGAGGCTGACGTGAGAGGTCAGAAGTTTGCATGACTGCAGTTTTCCTTGACCATGCCAAACAGTGAGAACTCCTACTTTTTCAGAGATGTTATTTCACTTTGGAGGACTTCCTGCCAAGTGAAATGCTGTGCAGCATACTGGAAAAATAGCTAAAGTCAATAAATACAGCCCATAAAAATAAAGTCTGGCACTGCTTTTGCACAGGAAAAAACTGCATCTTTTTTTTTTTCTTTTTTTTTTCTCTTTTAGCTATTTCAAGCTTAAAGCTTACAGAAAGCCTAGGAGAGCAAGAGGTATTTCCTCCTGCACATATATTTTAATGTGTTTTAATGTGACATTTCACTTATTTGTGGCCTCATCTTGCTCAGTAGTGTGGTCTGAGCAGAAGGTGCTGGTTACTGATAGCAGGGTCAACCTTCTGTCTTCTGATGGAGGAAATCAGAGTTGGAAGGTTTTGGAAGGGGCTGCTGGAGAGTGTCAAGTCCAACCGCAGTGAGCAACGACAATTGAAATGGGAATTAGGAACTTCAAAACATGGGATCCTGGATTTGAGTTTCAACTCCCCTGTAGTGTAGAACATGCAAATCCGGGTCATGTTGACTGTATGGAAGAAATTCTTGAGATAATGTGGTCATTCTGACACATCCTTCAGATCTGCAAGGCCTTTTCCAAGCACTGTGGGTTCCTGTATGCTGTGAGATTGCTGGAGTTCACACTGTCACCCCACTATTGAGGGTTACATGGGATCTTATTGACAGCTGTCACATCTCCAGACTACGGTAAGCAGCAGGCAGTCACTGATGTCACTCACCCTGTGTCCTGTCCCCACAGCAGTCCTGCTGTCCCCAGCGCTGCTCTCTGGGCACTCTCTTGCCCCAAAGGACACACGCTCAGGGCTGTGCTGTAGGACCTTTGCTCTTGCCTCTCCCCAGGCTCTGTGGGTGGCCTTCTCATTGACTCCCATGCAACATTTCAAAAGGCCTTGGTTTTGTTCCAGTGCAGAATGCAAAAGGCTTTCAACATCTCAATTGAAACAACAGAAATTCCAGCACTGGGCTCCCTATTTTCTTTCCAAGAGCAGAGTGAGAGAAAGAAAGGTCTGCCCTTGTTCAGTCCTGGCGAGTCCAATCTAGAGCTGTATAAAAATGCATCTAAAAAAAGGACCTTTCTTCCAATAAATGGCCATTTAATGAATAAAAGAGAAACAATTGAAGTCTGCAGTAATAGAACAATTATGTGCTGTTGTGCGTTCCAGCTGGCTACACATTGAACAGTTCTTACAAATTGCCGGAAACGCAGCAGCACACGGATCCGATACGTTTCAGGACAGTCATTATTAAGAAGAAATACCATGTGTCAATCTCCCAAAGACCTTAGAGGGCATTATCCTCCTAAAATCCCTTAATTACTGCTCCGGGGCTCATGTGTGTTCCTGGCCCGCAGCATGCACGAGAGGGGAGTGCTGGCAGCAGTCACCCCGGTGTGATGTTCATTAACTTCCTCAGTCTCTGCTCTTTCCTCTTCTGAGCAGCAGAGGGAAGGAAGCTTGCTAGGAGGCTGCAAAGAGAGCAAGAATTGTTCCATGATGAGGAGGAGCCGTGGAGGGACAGGTAAGGCCACCAGAGCAGCAAAAGTGCAGATGTGAGATAAGAGAGGAAATTCAGAATAGGCAAGAAGAAAAGCAAGGAGGACAGCAGAGCCAGTGGGAGCAGTGCTACGTGCATCCTCCTTGGCACATGTTTCTTTGATATTTGGGGGTATTGGTGTTCTGGTGTGCTGCTGCCTAAAGTGGGATTTGGTCTGTGGGATTTGGTCTTTGCATCGGTAATGACTGAAATTTTTTGGGTGGTCCTTTGTGGAGCCAGGAGTTGGACTCAGTGATCAGTGTGGGTCCTTATGATCCTTATGAGTCCTTCCAACCTGGGTCACTTTACGATTCTGTGGTTCCATTTGATGGGCATTTCTGGATGCACAAATAGGAGAAAAGTTGTGGGGGGATACTGAGGTTTGGTAACAGGCACGTGGGGTCTGGAAAGTCCTCACTTGGCTGATTTTCTAACAAGCTTTGGTCATTCAAAAAAGTAAGGTCATGAGGGTTGCTTGGGGCTGGAGAGCGCTGATTAAACACGATATAAATACCTGTGCTGTGGTAGGTCTGTGGGAAGAATTTAAATGTCTGAAGAGCAGAGGAGTGGGGATTAATGAGCTGTGAAGGAAGGAGATGTATTTAAGGTGTTTGTGAATAGGGAGAGGATGAGGTTCCTGCTCCATATTTAAGATATTAAAGCTACTCGGCAGGTTTTTTTCTTTCAAAAGAAAGCCTGAAAACCCCCGCAGTTCTGAGCACTTGTCAAGGATGTAATGATGGAAATTTTGTCAGCCTCGCTTTGCATAATAGGGATCATTATGTGATGGTAAATTTCTCTGTATGTTCTGTACGTTCCTAATGTGGGAGGAATGAAAAAATTCCCGAGGTTTCTTTCTCAGAGCTTGTAAATGAACACGCTGGGCTGGATTGTCTTCTCATTTGTCAGCAGGGAAAGCACAACAGTAGGAAATCACAGTACTGGGACATAGGTGTGTTGTTCCAGATCCCGCCAGACTCCAGGTACTTCTTGCAGAGCTGGATTTAAGTTCCTGCTGGAACGCAGCTCCATCACTCAGGTGCTGTGTGCCAATCCTGAGCTGCTCTATCCCAGAATGGGGCTGAATGGTAGACGAGTACTTGCCTGGGTCAGCTGGGTGAACTGTCCCAGAAGCTCACTGCTCCTTCCTTCAGTGCTGTAGGGCTTTCTAACCACTGCAGAACGCCTTCCTGCCAATAGAAACTCAATACTTTTCTTCCAGACCTTTTCCAGGGTTTGAGTATCCTGCATGCTCTGATAACCAGAGAACAGATTTCTAACCCAGGCTTACCCGCACCACAACTGCCTGCTTGAGCAAAAATATGTCAAAGCTGGCTAATAATAGCAGCAAGGAATTTCAAAGGAGCTTATCTGATTTTAACAACCGGCTCCCCTCTGCTCCTTTGTACATCTCAGAGAGAAATACACGAGGAGGAGTGTCAAACAGGACTTTACAAAGGAGAGTTAAGCTATTGCAATCTGCAGTCTGCACAGAGATGCCCCAAGATGAAGCCAGGGGCTGCCAACAGCACCCCGTTCCCATCCGGCTCCCTTCCCATCCTGCATCCCATCTGCTAGCATAGGGTGTGTTTGGGTATCTGGAGCTGAGAACAGAACCAAATGGCATCCAACAATAATGTTAGTCATAGTCAGAATAAATTAGGCTTTCCAACAGGGAGGGCAAAGTGTCCTTTTGCATGCAGTAACTAGGTATTTGTTCAAAACAATTAGACTCCATAGCCTAGTTTAGTGCTTAATCAATTTATGTGGTTAGCTAAAGTACTGCAAATGCCCCTAATAAGTGGTGACACCTTGTTCCTAGAGCACTGCTATGTGCTTGCAAAGAAATTACATTTTTAATTATGCCACACAAGCCTAATGGAAAATCTAATTATGACACTGGTATTTTTCAACTTCTTTACAAATAGTGTATTTTCTGAAATGCAGTTGCAAGTGTTGCCTCTGCTGCAGAACTTCAGAAGAGGAAAAAAAGAGAGAAAGGATTCTGCTCAGAGTTTGTACAATGCTTCACTTTATTATTTATTAATCACTGCTATGTATTATTTGTATGCTGTTATAAATGTCCTGGTAGTCGATGCAGTAAAGCAGGCAAATGGGAGTCGTTGCTCAGAAGGTTCTGCCTGGCCTGAGCCAAACAGTTCCATAAGCAGTAGAAATAACTGAAGCTGTTCCTCAGGGATCTGTGCTTTGTCTTTTTATTCCCCGATGTCTGATGCAGTGTGATGGCTGCCTGAAATGCTTTGCATGGATTAGGGCACTCACAGATTTCCTTCATGCCTACTTAGGGCTCTGCTCTTGTTGGAGCCTCTTTATCCATGGGGACAAAGCAA